TTTTTTTTTTTTTTTTTTTTTTTTTTTTTTTTTTTTTTTTTTTTTTTTTTTTTTTGTATCAGGGATCGAGCTCAGGCCCTACGTGCTTATGAGGCAGGCACCGGAGTCACTGAGCTAGATCCCTGGCCCTCAGCTGCCTAGTTTGGAAACCAGAGATCATCTGCAGCGTTTCCCTGTTTCTCTCCTACATTAAATTTGTTGAGTCCCATTAGTTCCTTCTCTGAAATCAGGCCTTCATTTTCCCATGCCTACACTGTTGACTTGTTCTGTGGGCTCTTCTTTCACACTCCGAAGCCTACCCCACCAACCTAACATACAGCCATGATTCATACTCCCTAATAATAGATTCTGGAGTCACTTCCTATACAAAATCATTTGGTTGGTTGCCCATGGCCTACAAAAGGGTAAAATCTAAACTTTTGAGTATGATTTGAGTCTTTCATTTGGCTCTACTCTTAAGAATTCAGCATATGAAATAGAATACAATACAGAAAAACATGAGACCTAGGAGTACAGAACAGCAATTAAGTGAACATCTGCAGTACCACCACTCAAATAAAATACTGCTTCCGTCCCAAGGCCTTCACTTCCTTCCTGATCATACCCCTAAAACACCTAATCCCATGGTGGAAAAGCTATGGCTCGTGTACTGCAGTGGCCTATTTGTTACCACTGAAAGCCCTGAAAGGCTTGCCATCACTGCCCTAATCCTTTAGCAATAATCAATATCACCACTTAATGGTAATTGCTTGCATTCCTTCATGGTTTTACCACCCAGGAAAATATTTTTTTCTTTTGGTACTGGGGATTGAACCTAGGACCTTCACACTGAGTTATATCCCCACCCATTTTTAAATTTTTGAGACAAAATCTTGCTAAACTGCTAAGCTGCTCAGGCTCAATTCAAACTTGCAATCCTCCTGCTCCATCCTCCGAGTGCTGGGATTATGGCGTGCATCACCATGCCTGATGCTATGGCTTGTATCCAGGTGTCCTCCCAAAGCCCTAAGCAGTCATGGGTGGAGCCTTTCAAGGGGGTCAGATCTAGGGTGTATGATGCTGGGATGGAGTCAAGGTTCAATGCTAGCATTAAGGGTGCTCCAACCTGGGTATGAGTGCTATTTGCCCCAAGGGTGGGTGGCCTGGATAGGATATAAGAGAAGACTGCTGCCGTTCCATTTGTTGCTTGCTGCTTCCTCACTACTTTGCTGCCTTCCTGTCTTCTGCCTACCACGAACTGTTTCTCCTCTGTGACGTCCCTCTGCCATGCCACCCTGCCTTGGAGCCTGCCATAACTGAAACCTCTACAAATTACAACCTACAATAAAACTTTCCTCCTTTAACTTTGGGTGCTGGGTATTTTGTCACAGCAATGAGAAAAAACATCCGGCTTATCTTGCCTCTATTTGAATTATGCTTGATGTGTGCATGTGTTATTTATTTTTTAATCACACAGAACTGGTAAGACTTTAGGTTGTGTGTAATTTTCATTTATTTTAACTGCTCTAACTAAGGTTTCCTTACCCTCAGCTCTATTGACACTGGGGCATACAATTTTTTTGTTGTTGTGGCAGCTGTCCTGTGTATTACAGGATGTTTAGCAGAATCCAAGGTTTGTACCCATTACATATCAGGAGTAGTTCCCCCACTGTGACAAACAAAAATGTCTCTAGTTGTTGCAAAATGTTCCCTGAAGGCAAAACCACTCCTAGTTGAGAATCATTATTCTAATTTACTCACTTTTACTCCTCATTCTTTTATGACTTCCCATTCTATAGAGTTACTTTTCCAGTCTGCTACTACAAATAATACCTTGACGAACATTCTTATACAAATCTCCAGAAGAATATGCACATGCATTTTTGTAGAATCAGAATTACTGGGTCATTTTGGTGTACACATCTTTAACTTCATTTGATGCAAAACCTGTTCTCAAAAGTGGTTATGAGAATTCATGTTACATAACTTCCTCAAAAGACTACATATTACTCATAAATTAAAAGGAAGCAACTGTAGAGATCTTCTACCTTCCAACCAAAGCAAGAACTGTTATTTTCCTTCAGCTCCTTCTTTTTTTAAAAAAGAAAATTAAAACTATCTTGGGGCCAGGATTTAGCTCAGCGGTTCCACCACCTGCCTCACAAGCACAAGGACCGGAGTCCGATCCCCACTACCAAAACAACAAAACAAAACAACCACAACAAAAAACTATCCTGCAAGTCTAAACTTAAGTCCGCTTTTTTGGTGGGACTACAGTGCCATCCTATCCCCTATCACTTTCCTCTTTCTCTAAATTTAAATACCATTTATGGTCTGTTCTACTCACTCCTTAATCACACACACCCTTCTCCCCAACTTGTAAGCTTTTAAGCAGCACGGAAGCCATCTTGTTAGTTATCCCTTTACAGTTAGCAAAGTAATCTAGCTATATACGTCTCAATGCCAAGCATATACCCTGAATCAATGAGAACATACAAGCTCTGAAACTTCTTGGGCCTGAGAGGTACAGATTTTACAAAGAAAGTCACAACCAGGAAAACGAAATTTTCATTTTGCCTCAAATATTATCTAGAATGTAAACTTGAGCAAGGGGATCTCCCATCTCTGGGCTTTAGTCTTATCATCTGCAAAACTGGGTTAACACAGATGATCTCCGAAATTCCTTACAGTGTTAGAATTGGGTATGAAAACTGAACTTCATTAAATTCAGTCTGAGGTCTAGAGCGGGGGAGGGAATGGGAGGCTGCTGTCGATGGAGGTGATGGTGCTATCTGTTGTTCCCAGGCACTCACGAGAACGGGAATGCCGGACGATGCCAGCTGCCAGGACGGGACTCAAAGGCACCGACAGCCACAGGCCACGCCGGTGACCAGCGCCTAAATACAGCCTGGAGGGGTCACCGGAAGGGGCAGTGTGACCGAGTCTGCCAGGCCTGTCTGAGAAGTCCATATGGGGGCGTGAGATGCCTCAGGGGCAGGCCATAGGCAAGGGAGCGGTGTGTGTCGGTGCCTACTAGCTCACCCGGTTGGGATACTCCTTCTCCACACAGTCCCCACACATGGCGACGCGGTTGACCCAGAACGTCCTCCACTACTTCCGGGATACAAAGCCTCGCGAGAGCGGAGGGAAGGTTAGCCGCATGCGCTTTAAGGACTCGATCCGGGATATTTGGCCTCCGGAACGGATTCGAAGCCCCGCCCCCTAACGTCGGTTTTTCAGGGCAAGGAGTTCCGTGGTCTCTGGCGACAGTGGTGAGCGAGGGTTGGACGTTAAATGTTTTGAGAAAGAGGAAAGTTCTCGCGACTGACAGATGTGGTAGGAAGGGAAGTGTGTCTCGGACCGACCGCGCGAACTTCTAATAGGCAACTTCCTGAGCTTAGGCTAACAGAAAATTAAATGACACGCAAGAGAGGGAATTGTTTCTCGCTGCCTTGGCTTACTCCATGTATTTTAAAAAAAAGATAGATGATACCTTTAATACCTTTATGTACCATTACTTAGAGCAGGGAGAGTGATCAGAGATCATATCGGCAGGTGAATAAACATTAGCCGACGGCTTTTGGAAAGAGGCACGTAGAGCTTTGCAAAGAATCTCCCAAGAAGAACATTTTAAAATGTTAACAATAAATGACCATCCTGGAGTCGCCTGGAGGACATAAAGATGGAAAACGTGCCCCCGCTGAGTCAGCGGAGGGCAATTCTACATAAATAGAAGCCCACATTACTTACCCCACATCATTTTCTTCGGGTCTTAAAATTCATATATGATTTTCGCCCTGCCTCTTCCTTCCCCTCGGCATTGAACGCATTTTATTATTCACAATGACATAATTAACCTAAATATGAATCTCCAAAGTCTATGTGCTTCTGATCAACCTGCCTTCATCACCCCCAGCTGCTCCACCATCCTCTTGTAGCCGTACTAGATTGAGGTCAAGTCAGGGAAGCAAGATTGGGGAGCCCGAGACTCGGATCCAGATTCTTCAAAGCAAGCCAGTTTAATTGGGTTTTCTAATGTGGGAATTATGTCTCCATTGGAGAATTTAAATTATAACCTTTAGAATCTCAGCCAATGATAGTTCTTACTGAGACTCAGATGTGCTGAGACACTCTGTGCCACCAGAATGCCACAGTTGACTTTACTCTTGGGATAATTATAACACTCGTTTGCATGACATTTTCAACCTTTCCAAGTGCCCTCATTTAGGCTTCTAATTTGATGCAATTGTATTCCTATAACATTGGTGAGAAAAGTGTGTCTTCGCTTTTCAGATGAGGAAAGAAAATAAGTGGTTGAAAGTCTTGTCTGTGTACCAGAACTACCCAGTAGTCAGCTAGGACTAGGAGGGTGTTCCTGTTTTCAGATCAACTTCTTTCTAACAACAAAGCCACTAGCCACAAAAGTTATAAAACACTTTAAACGTAGCAAGTCTGAACTCACAAGTATGTTGCATGTACACTAGATTTGAAAAACAGTAAAGAAAACAGTCAAACATATCAAATGATTTTAATCAATCAATAATGTATTTTTGTGGTGCTGGAGATTGAACCCAGGTCCTTTGCCCCAAACTACACCCCTATGTCCTCCCTTTTTATTTTAAGACAAGGTTTCCTTAAATTGCTAAATTGGCCTGGCTGGGCTTGAACTTGTGATTCTCCTGCCTCAGCCTCCCAGGATTGCTGGAATTGCAGGTGTGCACCACTACACCTGACTGTATCTCAATCCCTTTTATGTGATTACATGTCACAATAATGTTTTGATGCATTAAGTTAAATAAATATATTATTAAAGTTAATTGCACTTTTTTGTTTCAATGTACTTGAATATTTAACCCACACACAATAAGTAAATCAAATATTATTATTCTTGGTATATCAAACAATGTAATAAAGTATGACAGAAATATTACATAGAAAAAGATTGAATTAACAATTGCATTTTTTAGTTTTTTCTCATAATTATACATTGACACCTACTTATCTGATAGCATTGCAACTGCACACTTTTAGCAAATGTGACTAATAGAAAAATTTGAAGCCTATGTGTAGCTCTCATTTTATTCCCATTAGGGTTCATCTCCACAGTTCCCTCTCTTGACCCATCTTTAAATTCTTTTTCCATTTTTAAAGTCTAATAACAGCTTTGACTTTTACTAACCATTATATCTACTTTACTCAACTCTATAGGTACTTACTGAATGCATTTGATGTGTGCAAAGGACCTCATGGACAGCAGGAAGCTGAACATGACGCTGCCCTTTCCCGCGCTCCAGATTCTCCCAGCATGGTTTGAGAGGTAAAATGAGCACAGATCCCTGCCATTAATTACTGGCAGACTGTGGCATGGGAAGACAAAGTGGAAAGGCTACCCCCAGATGGGTGACTGGAAGGAGGAATTTAGATCCTGAAGACTACAGGATTTGAAAAAGCAAATCATATAGAAGAATTTCATGTGGACAAGGGCAAGGAACTTGAATCTTATTCTGCGGGTGATGGGAACAGATGAAATTGTGAGCAGGAGAATGCTTCAGAGTTGTGGTTGAAGGTTCATTTTAGCAGCATTTTATTGGGATTGATTGGAATTGGAAGAAATTGGAGATACAAAAGATAGCCACTAAAAAAAAAAAAAAAAGAAAAAAAAAAAAAG